TTGCATACTTACATACCACTGCTGGTGAGGAAGTCCTGAGCAAGTAGGACTCCCTACTTCTCTAAGCTCCTGAAGCGAGGAAACCGTCTGCCAGGCAGAGTGAAGTTTTGGCTTGGTACTTAAAATGCAGACGCAGACCCAAGTATGCCTTGAGAGGAGACTCCACAAAATCCCAGATCCATTAACATCTTGGTTTTCCTGGGAAGACAATGGGAGAGCAGGAATTGAGGAGTTGCAGCAGATCCCATTCAGATGCCAGTGCACCATGGCATCTGTATCCAGCACCACGCTCTTATGTGAATCCTGCTCTCTATTACCTGGAACTCAAAGCTGGTGAAAACAAAATGAACTTGCTACTTCCTTTTTTATAAGTCAAAGCAATTAAATATCCACACCATCAAGTAGCTGACATAATGTTTAGAAGGTCGACCACTTCTGTAAGAAAATATACAGAGAAGGACAAACTATTCTAGGGCTTTTGTTACAGACCAAGGTTTCTTCCTAGTTACAGATTTCATATTTTAGTTAATGGTAATAAGTTCAATTAGAAATGTGGTTATTTATGCCTTACAGTAGCTGCAGCTTTAATTTGCATAATGCAATTTTGGTGATGTTTTTAGGTTTTTTTAATTGTGATATGTGTTTCATTAGACATTATCTCATACGTACCATGAAGATCAATAAAATGCTCTCCCTTACATTTCAGATGTGTGAGAGAAAGCGCCTGGTGAGTTAAGACAGCTGGGCTCATACCTCATACTTAAGCACTTAAGATACCTCAACTTCATTGCATTTCATCGTATGTCTAGTTTTTCCTATTTAGTAGTAACTTCTAACCAAAATTATTTCATAACCATTATGCACAGCTATAATAGCAAATAAGTGAGAGATGATTCTAGTAAAAAAATATTTTAAATGGATTTTCTCTCCTTTTTGATACTTTATTCTAGAAGCAGGAGGTTGGACTCCACAGTTTCTAGAGGTCCCTTCTTACACCTGCAATTCTGTGATTCTAAAAAGTGATATAAGGTGACTGAATGGTTATCATACCCAGCTGTACAGGAGCTACCTTATTATATTTGTTTTGAATTAGCAGTAGAATCCAACTGGTTCTGAAGTAGAACAAAAATCATTGTAAGCAACAAGTGCATGATTACAGTGCATTTAATACCATTTGAGTTTTTATTCAGGTTCTAACTTTTGCAGTAAGCCAATTACAGGAACAACTTCATTTAATTTAAATAACAGAAAAAAGATGAGTGAATTTCTAGTTTTCTGGTTTGTAAGGAAACATTTGACAATCTAGCCTACAACAGAATGAACACGCCTGATTTCTGGCATGGTTATAACCTACATCCTTCTCCTTCCCTGCCACGAGCTTCTTCATACTCTTGTAACTCTTTCTCAGAAATGGTTTGGTTCCCCTTCATTGCCATTTGGTCCACCCCCGTAACAGGCTCAAATCCCATCCTCTCCTAACTATCTTTTCTGGGTTGCTGGCCAGGCAAGGGATGACACAGTGTAGATGGTCCAGAGCTATCAGTGCGCTGACTAATGACTAAGCACATGCTGACTGGCTAATTAAAGGCTGCCAAAAAGGATGGGTAATGGTTGGGCTCTGCTTGCCTTCTCCTCAGGGAGGCCATTAGTAATCTCCTTTTCCTCTACACAGTCACTGTTTTTCCATAAAACTCACAGTAACACAGCGTCTTCAAAACTTCTGTATCCGTCATTTTTGGGTTTGGATATTTTTTTCTATTTTCTTTAGGTTTTCCAATGAGTATGAAAACTACCAGTGTAAAGCAGAAAGCCAAAAGGCAGCTGACAGTTAGACAAATGTGTGACTTTTCTCTTTTGAAAGAGTCACATTCTTATGTTGCTTGATTTTGGGGGCCTGAGTCATGATCTTTGAATAGCCAGGGTTGGGAATACTGTTCACTATTGGCAGGCACAGTGGGTAGAATGACACAAATCCCAAAGATAATATTAAAACACCATAAAGTTCAGTAAGATGTGCATTTCGTTTTTAACTCTTTGGTTTTGCTGATGGTAACGTGCTGCTTATTTTTAAATCATTTTTGTAAAATAATTTTTTGGGGAATTACTTTTATCTGGTTACTTATATTTCACTTATTACTTACCTTGTCACCTACATCTGTAGCCAGCATTATCCTTCAATGCCACAATGAAAGTCAAAGAAAAACCATTTCTCTATGGCACTGTTAAAGAAATTGAGTGCTTCAGTACCTTCTAATCAAATGCTACGCTTTAAGCTCTCTCCAAATTCTTGCAGTCTCATAGAAAAGAAACAGCAACAAGAAAAGATGAAGACGAAGTTATTCTAATAACAACCTACAGGTATTCAGAGAATGTGCATCACCGCAGTGGCTGAGAGAAAGCTCTGCTCTTGCTCAGAGCTCAGTGGCATTTTTAGGCATGAAAAATAAAGGATTTTCGTCCTGCAGTCAAAAATGAATGCATTTTTGAGGGGAAAAGAGTGGCTTTTTTTTTCCCCCCAGAATCATTACGCAACACTGACAGAAAATCATGCATTAGTTCACAATAAGGCACAGTCAGTGGAAGACCTTGAAGGAGAAGGAGGAGGCCAGGTATCACACCAGGCAAGCTGCTGCATAGCACAAAGAAGAGGCATGCTGATAGAGGCGTTTCTCACCGGCCACTTCTCTTGTCCCTTCTCCAACATGATGAATGGCTCCCAGCCAGTCTGCCAGAGCATTTAATGATCCTGATTTTAATGACTGCGTCAGTGTTCCTACCTGTTTATTGATGGATCATCATTCCCTTTGGAACTGTATCTACTGTGAAACTTGGCACTATTATTAAGGTTTCCACTTGGGGGTAGATTCCCTTTTATATTCAGCTCTTTAGTCATTCTGATTAATATAAAATAGCTTTATTATGATATGCATTGTTATAATACATTAAAAAGAACACCACAACCCAAAACAAATACAGAACCAACCAAAACTTTATAACTAGTCTGAAACTGGGTTAGTGATTTTCAAGACTCTTTGTGCGAATCATCCTATCCACCATTCATAAAGATGTTTTTCCAGCACCAGTAGTGTACTGGCCTCTTAAAAGTGCAAGAATACTAACAGTCTGTTTAAAACAGTATGCTGTGAACATGGCATTGCAAACTCAGATCTCTCCTAACTTGTAGTTCCAGTGAACCACAAGCCCATTTATGTTACCATATATTGAGAGCACTGACAGGAGCACCTTGTATGAAAATAAACGCTCAGGATATAAGCAGTCAAAATGTTTGCTCCACACATGGATTTAGCTGAAATGAGAACATCAAAGTTAGACCCTAAAGCTGTAACCTGGAACATGTGAGCACGATACATCTATTGCTTGCATCAACTTTACACCATGGAAAGACAATCAATTTAAATTGAATACTCAAGATTCACATTACTGGTCGTGAGCTGAATATTAGGCTCAGTTCTGTGCCATGCAGTGAATTTTTGTGCCCTGGAAAGGTAATGCAAAATAACACAAATGACTAGGCAGAAAAAAGACCTCTTGGATTGTTCTGTGAGGTAACATTCTTCCTATATGAACATATACAAACAAATCCTCATTATTTGCCACACTTTCAGGTGTACTCATTATGGAAAAGAAACAAAAAAAAATTAGTGAAAAACTGACAGCACGGTCCCAACTTAGATAGGAAAACTGTGACATTTTGCATGAAATTCTGGGATTTGTATTTGTTCTAACATATAGACCCCCAATTCCCCAAATGAAAATTAATTCCCTTTTTTTTTTTTTTTTTTTGCTAGCAGCATGTCTAGTGTCATCTACATTAATGTAAGATTTTACAAGCCATGACCTGTAATTATACAATCCAGTCTAAGTGTATCTTATGCAGAAAGCATATTAAAACAATAATCTTAAAAATATAAGTGGAATATAGAAAACTTACAGATGGTTGAATAGAAAGCAAAACATGCTATCACTTCAGTTGGCATAATACAGAGGTATCCTGAACTGAAATAAAATAGGATATGAAAAAATGAAGATTTAGTGACAGAAGGAATTTAAACAGTTTATGTCATTTACAAATTTCAGTAATAATGGAAAAAGCAAGCTGGACTATTTCTGTGTAATGTTAGTTGAGTAGCTAATGATATTCTTTAAAAATACCTTTGCTACTAAAGGTCTCTCAGTATCTAATTTGCTGCCCAGGATTTTGCTGACAAGGCAAACTTTCCTTACTTAAGTGTCTACACACTTCAGTAATTAATTTTGATACTAAAGGGTCAAATAGTTAGCCCTTACTTTTAGTCATACACGTACAAAATCTTTATTCCTGCTTATCTAGTACCTATCAGAAACACCTATTACAGTTTTCTGAAATTTGAACTGCTTAATACGCTTTAACTGTTGAACAGCATAGATTCCCAATGTTTGCAGTGTATTTATTATGTATTTTTCCCCCTCTTCTTTACAGAAGTCCCACAGAATTTTGCTTTAGATAGTACAAGCTTTCAGTCAAAATAGTGACAGAATCCTAAAGCAACTCTAAGGAAAGCTCTGCCTCAATTCATAGCGCAGCTATGTGTTCAGTGTATATTTAAGAATGATAGTGCTGTCTTCCAGCACTGCTGCCCATAGTACTTGGAAACATATCCTTTCAGTATGAGAAGACGTATCCTCTATGAAGCCACCAGATAAATCAGTTCACCCTTGGCTGTAACTAAATGCTGTCTAGTGACTTGTGATCGACAGGGCTTTAACCTCTGACAGCTAGATTCATTGTTGGGACAACAACCAATCGTCGGTTTTGACGACATGAGCCTAATCAAAGTTGGAGTATAAAAGCCCCCTTGGCATATATAAGGCACACCAGTGTGGCAAGCCGTCTCTCAGATTGCATTTGCTTTCACGGATCTGTTTAGAACTGAAAGAAAAAGGGAAAGAGGGAGAGGGGGAAAAAAAAAAAGGAAAAAAGCTGCAGTGACTGTAAGATCATGCAAAAGCTAGCAGTCTATGTTTATATTTACCTGTTCATGCAGATTTCAGTTGATCCAGTGGCTCTTGATGGCAGTAGTCAGCCCACAGAGAACGCTGAAAAAGACGGACTGTGCAATGCTTGTACGTGGAGACAGAATACTAAATCCTCCAGAATAGAAGCCATAAAAATTCAAATCCTCAGCAAACTGCGCCTGGAACAAGCACCTAACATTAGCAGGGACGTTATTAAACAACTTTTACCCAAAGCTCCTCCACTGCAGGAACTGATTGATCAGTATGACGTCCAGAGAGACGACAGTAGCGATGGCTCTTTGGAAGACGATGACTATCATGCCACAACCGAAACGATTATCACAATGCCTACGGAGTGTAAGTAATAACCCTGCTGCTTTCGTCTCGCACCGCTCCTCTGAGAGTTGTCTCCGTGCTGTAGAGCCACACAACTCCTTCTCAGGCTCTCCCAACAGGCTGCTGGCTGGAGTCTGCCGGAGGGAGGGAGGAGAGTGTATTTCTAAAGAATTTGAGTCAGGTTCAAATGACCGTGTTGCGAGCCTTTGTTTTACTGTTCATTTTTTCAGCTCCTTGTAATGTGTGTGCCCTGTAGCACACTTAGGATTTGCCTAAGCGTGTTTAGAAAGCAAAAGGACATCTGCAGTTGGCTCTGTTACGTGCAGCATTCAGGATGTTCCCTATTGCAGATAGAAAGTGCAAGTGCAGCTAATAAGATAACTATATTTTCTGCATGACATTCCACCTGCTACTGTGTTTAAAAGCAATAGAAGTGAGTAGAAATACAGATTAGAGTAGGAGACCTACCTAACTACAGCATGTTACAGCAAGTGTAAGCATAGAGTTAAATTCTTGCTTCTTTGCTGATCCCACAGGCTAGCACCACCCACCTCTGAGTTAGAACTGTATATTTAAAGCAAATCTATGTGTAACAGATTTAAATGTTAAAATGTCCACGTTATAGCTATCAGCTCCAGTAGTCGTGCCAAGGAAGAATGAAAGCATTCACTGAATGAGCAGATTCTAAGTTATCTTCTGAGTGCTAAACATCTGCTACGGCTCCTATCAAGTATCTTTTGCACAACTAATACTATAGTATCTTATGTTCTTCATCAGCTGAAGTATTTGGCTATGGCAGCTGTTTTTTAAAATAACGCTTAAGAATATGATGTCAAAAAGGAAAAAATGTCAGAACATATAAGGCAGGTTAGCAGTCACAGATATCATTACGTATACTAGAATAATATCAGCTTCTATAGCCAGCTAAAATGGACAAAAAATTAACTTTATCTGAAGCTTTTTTTTTTTTTTAACTTTAATAAGATGCATACTTAACAGCAATACATTATTGCAGTCTTATTGCAAACTGTCAGCAGTTTTATTCTAGCCTACTATGTACAAAATTTGAAAACTATTTTAATTAAACCTCTATATAGCCACAATGATGGGGAAAAGTCATCATGCTTTACTGCTCTATTTTCTTCTTTTTTATAAAAAGTGTTTGAACTACTATAAATACGCTAAAGAGGCAGTTATTGTAAGTGATCTGATTTATGAGTGTCAAACATGTGTACCATTTAAGATGAGTATTATCTATTTTATCCTGGCGTGGAGATACGCTATCATGACTAGGTAGGACAGCTACATTATAGGCTACAGGAAAGAGGAATGAAGCATTGCACATGACTTTCCTTTAATAATGTTGAAATGAAAACAAATATTCAGATTAGCACTCTAAATTTTCTTTCCACTCAGGAAAGAAAATAAAGTGCTAAGGTAGTTTGCACATAGTTGCCCCTATTTGCAAATACACAGCACCCTAAGGTTATTTAGTAACCTAGAAATTCCTAGAGGTGAAGAAACATTGAGTCAGCTCATGCTAAGTTGCTGTTGCTTTATGAAGGTCCTCAGATGAACAGCAGAAGTGGGCTTGCAGTAGTCACCATGAAGTTGCATTGGCTGTGCCCTGTCCTCTGACAAATTTTGTCTGGGAAAGAGACTTCTCTGCAGCTGCATGGGTCAGCCCACTGAGCTGGCATGATGGTCAGATCCTTGAGGACCACAGGAGTCCCTTAGCTTTTCTTCTCTTGCCTACCATTCCTGAATTTCTGCCTGTGCACATCACTCAACTCTGCATACCTACGAAGTGCAAGGGATCAGCTACAGTTACTTAGAAAACGGTTAGCCAAACCTTCTTCTAGCCTGCTACAAAACAATCATCAATTCCTTGTCACAGTATGTTACTTATAGGTGACAGTATAACGATTATATTTGCTGTAGGATGTAAAGTGCAGAAACTGAATGATAGTGCATCCACTTTGTTACCAATACTGTTTATACAATATTTTAAGACATCCTACATGATCTGAAAAAAAATTGGGTTGATATATGCGTATTTCTTTTTGTTCCCTGTTCAGTAATTTGTTCTTTCCGTTCATTTATAGCTGATTTTCTTGTACAAATGGAGGGAAAACCAAAATGTTGCTTCTTTAAGTTTAGCTCTAAAATACAATATAACAAAGTAGTAAAGGCACAATTATGGATATACTTGAGGCAAGTCCAAAAACCTACAACGGTGTTTGTGCAGATCCTGAGACTCATTAAACCCATGAAAGACGGTACAAGATATACTGGAATTCGATCTTTGAAACTTGACATGAACCCAGGCACTGGTATCTGGCAGAGCATTGATGTGAAGACAGTGTTGCAAAATTGGCTCAAACAGCCTGAATCCAATTTAGGCATCGAAATAAAAGCTTTTGATGAGAATGGACGAGATCTTGCTGTAACATTCCCAGGACCAGGTGAAGATGGACTGGTAAGTTTATTTTTAAAAAATCTCATTTAAATATATATATATATTAATCATTGGAAAGTGATTGACTTGTCTTTTAAGGATAAAAATGGAAATACTGCTTAGGAAATGGAAGGTAAAGGTTCTATATACCCAATTCTTTCACTCTTTGCTCTCAATTAATGGCAAAATCACTTTGAAACTCCTGTGCCTCCATTTTGCTGTTTGAAAAATTAAGATGAATTGCATTACCTCAGGGTCATGTTGTAAGGCACTGATTGGAAAATGCTTTGGTACTTATCAACAGATGATACTATTAAAGTTACACTATTTCCAAACTTGAGAGAAAATACTGCTTAACGCAAAGATATTTTACATAAAGAACATAAAAGCAATTCAACTCTTTCTGTGATAAGAAATTTGCTGTAAATAGTGTGGGAAAGATTCATTCAACACAGAATTTCTCCCTATTCTGTATGCATGTGTTTTCCATTAATGACAATGAAAATTATCTATGTTTATGAATCTTAAATTGTGCATCTTTTAATAACTGACAGAATGAATAATTCCTCCTACTATAAACATTTGAGTACATAAATTCTGCTTGATACAATAAATGCATCATGATGAGAAAGCATAAAATAACTTGTGGTCTCTTCCTGCAAGATGAACATAATAAATCTAAAGCATACCAGTTTAACTACAGCATTTTCCTTGTTGCTTCCCCAAATTGCTAATCTTTTACAACCACAGCTGAACTTAGTGAAACAGCTGAAACAACCAAGAAATTTCTGCTTTTGAAGAAAGTACTAAGAGCATAATTTTGCTTTTACTGCTACACAATAGATCATTCTGTTTATGTAGCTATGAGATGTCATAGCAGTGAAAAGAATTAAGAGGATAAGCACATCTTAATTGTAGATCCATCACAGATCTGAGTCTTCCATAGGTGAAAGAGGCCACTGAGATATCAATAATGGCCATGCCATCTCCACCCATTCAAGTATCCAGCAAGGTGTTTTCATACATGTGGATAAGCCAAGGCTTTTCCAGAGCTATCATCATCTGTAAAAACAAACTGAATCAAGAGCAACACAAGGGTAGATGCTCTGCAGTCCACAGCAGAGGAAATGTATTTTCTCGTTCCTCCAGCTCCTCTCCAGCCTCTCTCTGTAGTGGGATGCCCCTCTCCATCACGCCTCTCTCCAAATTGGTCACTTTTGGAAGGAGCTTTTCCAGCAGCTGGACAATGTACTGCCCTAAAGGTGTGTGTCTTGAAAGGAACCAACCTGAGCAGCAGTTAGCTGATCTGTTATTTACTCCTGAGGCAACAGCAGTGCCAAAAAGGCATATTGCTGAAATTGACATGGGGAGGAAGAAACTTTGGGAACTTTTTCAGACTTATCATTACAAAGTTTGCTATTTATTTCTATTCTCAATTAAGGACTGTGCAAAGACACCTTCAGTAGGAAGCATGTGGCTCAGAGATCTGCCCAAAGTGCTCTCCTGGCCACAAGGCTCTCTCAGCAATCAAAATATCATCTGTCCCTCCAAAGTCAGTGCAGCATATCCAGCCCTTTGAGTAAAAGCTGCGAAGTGGAAATAACCTGCACTAGCAGGCGAAACTTTTTTCTGCCACCACTCCAATCACTCCAACAAACAGTAATTAGAGAGATTTCCTGTTCTCCTTGGTCTGGAGGAGAGGCCTTCCCTGATATCCAGAAAACTCAAATAGAATAACGTTTGAATGGAGGAATTTTCAGACAGACTCACACAAGGAATCCAGCACAGGTTGGATCCTGCCCTTTAGATGTGTGGGGTTTTTTTTGTTTGTTTGTTTTGAGTTTTCTCCTTTTGGGAGTTCTTCTATAGAGAAGAAAGAAAGAAAAAGCTCTTATTGTAGTACTAAGGAAAACAACAGCTAAAGTAGAAGCCCAAGATCCTCATGATTTCTGAAACTCTCTCTTAGCAGTTAATAAGAAACAATGATAATGGTGATTTCAGGAAGAGAGAGGCAGAAATTAACACTCTTTGTGGAGAAGCAGCAGGGAAATGCTGGTCTTCAGAATGAAGAAGAGAAATAATCCCTGAGCAGGGAACAAATGTAGCAGACTTGGATGAGGAAAAAGTTCTCAGAAGGGTAGAAGTTCAAAAACGTTTGCAAATGTTATTTGAGAATATTAATTTGATACGTTTGTGTCAGAAATATCTATCTGCATGTTCTTACTCAAATTACATACCTTGTTAATACTTCCGATTCCTTTTCCTCTTCTCTCAGAACCCATTTTTAGAGGTCAGAGTTACAGACACACCAAAACGGTCCCGCAGAGATTTTGGCCTTGACTGCGACGAGCACTCAACGGAATCTCGATGTTGTCGCTACCCATTGACAGTGGATTTTGAAGCTTTTGGATGGGACTGGATTATAGCACCTAAAAGATACAAAGCCAATTACTGCTCTGGAGAATGCGAATTTGTATTTCTACAGAAATACCCACACACTCACCTGGTACACCAAGCAAATCCAAGAGGCTCAGCAGGCCCTTGCTGCACACCCACCAAGATGTCCCCTATAAACATGCTGTATTTCAATGGAAAAGAACAAATAATATATGGAAAGATACCAGCCATGGTTGTAGATCGTTGCGGGTGCTCATGAGACCATCGTGAGATCCACCACTTCATGAATTGTGGAAGCCACCAAAAAAGCTATATCCCCTCATCCATCTTTTAAACTGTGAAATTACATACGCTAGGCGTTGCCAACATCCATATACTGTACAATCATACAGACCACATATAGCACAACACGAGCTGCAGAATGTGAACTAACAGACAATAGAATTACCTAAGGGCTGGCTTTGAAACAATGGACAAAGAAGCTACAATCAAAATCATCGGATTTAACAAATGAGTTTCTTACACTGTGAGGGAATCAATATTCAGTCATTCAAACACAAATTTATATGCAGTTTTCAACATATGCTGGTAATCAAAAGCAAGCTCCTTCTCATCTGAGGACACAAGGAGCAGGCTATTAAATCAACTTCTTCACAGCTTCACTTAATATTGTATTTACAGAAAAATATATACTGGTAACATATACACCACTACACAATACCACCAGAATCGTCCTTGAACACTTGAATATATAGTGCAGAGTTGTGATAAGATGAAATTCCACGTAAATGGACAAACCCTGAAGTTAGGGATGGTATATTGTATTTAGCGTGTTTCCATTCCTTTTTTTTCATTAGTATGTTAGTAATCAATGGCAATGGTGCTATGTAAGCAGGCTGAGTAAATAGATAGTTATCTAAGTGAAAGAATTTAGAGTAATAATGAATTTGCCCTATCCTCAGGTACACTATTCAACATTCGCAAGAAAAAGGTATTTTTTAAAGGAAGGTGGATACTTTTCTAAATGTAGTAAAACAAAAGGCAGCACAGAAGTCTAATGTTCAAACCATAATCCCATATTGTAATCTGCCTTTGCAACATTACCGTTTGCACTATGATAAGCCAATGCAAATAGTTGGTTGCTACAGATATTGTTAAAAAACCACTTTGATATAACTGACTTGTGTAATATGTATGCATCAATATTTTGTAAATAAATGTTTATTTTTTAATCACTGTTGGTATATGTTCATTACAGAAAAGAGTGATGTTAATCTGTACTTTAGTTTAATAAACAAAAGCCAGTATTCTCTTCATAACAATTTCCTGGTTTTTAACAGTAATATGAAGGAACAATGCAACAAAGTAAACCATATGTAGAGAATTAGACCACATTTTGTGTGGTTTCTTTTTCTATTGGTATGAGCCATCTGTGGAAAAATGGTGTCTGTTGACATGTTTACAAGGTTTCTTTAGGTTACTGTTTTTCTGGTCATTTTGATCCACACCCCGTTTTCCATACATTGAACGTTATATCCATAAGTAATAACACCACAAAAGACTGCTGCTAAGTGCCTATTATTATATTGTAAATTTTGCAGCAAACTCTTATCTTCATTTGGGTAAACATAGTAAACAGAGTTCCGCCCAAATTCGATATTTTTCCCTTGTGATAAAAAATTGTTGATTGAAATTAAAATGTTTTCATGTTAATATAATACATTTTTTGCTATATTTTAGAAATCACTTTTGAACTTTTCTTTGTACAAAGCCATTGTAGAATTGCAACAATAATTGATTTTCCCCTCTGATGTATTTTTTGCATAGGTGATAAATATTTGTTAAAAGGCAAACAATCTTGGTACAAAGAAATCATACAACAATGACATTTTAAGTTTGAGTGATAAAGTTTGAAACTTAAAGAACGAGCAGATTTTCAAGCATTTCTTTTTAACTATGAAGAGTTCTGCTAAAGCTGTGCCCAAGCATCACACAGATGTTCACCTTCCCCTAATATAGATCATCTCAGCAGACCTCTGGAGCCTTTATGTACACCATCAGTTTAGTTTCCCACAAGACACAGACTAAAAACAGTCTCAAGCAAGCAGTCAGCCCACCAGCAATGTGCAGGATGCGAGTCCTAAGGCACACCGAAAGCCTGCTATGCTGCTGAGAGCTTTCCATAGCACAGCACACAGCCATTAGCTGAGCCTGTTCATATGGCAGCAGCTGCAGAGGTGGCAGCACGTTGGAGTCGATGGCAAAGAAGACATTGCCAGTCTGCACTGCAGTGCTGATACAGCACCTGCATGCTGACTTCTAGTCACAGTAGCTAAACCAAAGCTAATGCAAATGCAGTTACCTCACATAAGGACATCCTTGGCTGTGCCCTGCTGGTCCAGCCCCTGCCATCACTGCCCTCCTGCCTGCTCCTCAGCCTCAGCTCTTGCTGGAAACCATGCTCTTGGGGAAAATGCTTCCAATACGCTTAAATGGAGCTCACGGGGATCTTAACTGCTGGCAAAGGAGCCATCACCAGCAGGCACGTGTAAACTGCAGCTTTCCACAGAGGTACTAGTTTGCTAGCTATGGGCAGATTTCAACAGAACAGCTAAAGGTTAATCACATTCATAGTTTTAGGTGTATTTTCTTGTTCTGGGTTCATTCTTCTGTGGTAGTTGGCTGGTGGTTTTATTTTCCTTCCCCCCTTCCTTTTTTTTTTTTTTTTTTTAAAAATCAGAGATTACTAAATTGTCTCATTCTTGGATGAGAGTTCTTTTGGCCAAATGCCTTAAAAAAAAGAAGTTGGCCTGAGTCTTGGACAGTCCAATCCAGGCTGTTACATTTTGTTAAAGATACAGCAAGACAAAACACAGTGCTATAAAATGAAGTACCCAACAAACTCAATATCCAAATGATCCCAAGTCCACTTAAATATTTAGTGAAAAAAAATTAAAAGTTAGGAAATAGTAGATAGATAGAAGGCACTAACTAGAAACGTTATTTATATTACCTCTGTATTTCAGCAAAAATGTCACCAAGAACCTCAGTTTAATGATCCAAGCTAGCTGGCACATTAACTTCATCCCAAGAACAACACTTACAGCAGCAACATCTCTGCACATCACAGCTATCTGTGCACTGATGCAATAAGACACACAGCAAAGATGTGCTCACCAAACCACTCCTGCCACTGCAGCTGCCCCTGTGAGTGGTCTGCCCATAATGCTCCCTTGTAAAGTGTTTTGTATCAACGAAATTGGATGTTAACAAGCTCTGGAAACGTTAAAGTTCCAGTTCTGTCTCCTACTTAGCAAAGAAAAGCCCTGGCAAGATCCAAAGGCCAGTTTATTAATTTGTATAGGCATGAAGTACTGCTCTGCTCATGCTTTGCTGCTTATAAGTAATCACAAAAGAACTTACAGTGCCAGCATCTCCTGAAGCAAAATTGTGCAAAGAGCAATAGAAAAGGGCAGGCATACAGTTCATTCAGCATTAAGCAGCTATGAAGCAAAATTGCAGTGGATGTTCTACAGCCTATTGTTTGGTACACAAGAAGTATTGACAACGAGAAGCCTGGAAGCCATCTGTAGGTCGGGTGAAAAGATGGGCAATGAGCTTTGCAGCACTTTGGGTGTAAATCTGTCTGACACTTATCAGCCTTGGCTGCCAAAGCTCATTTTGAAGCTACAGGAGAGACTTCATTTTCTTCTGAAGTGGACATGATTCATCTTGTGTGTGTTTTCAAAACAGTACAGCTTCCAGGGAAAATAAACCAGTTCAGTGCCCATAAGTCAACCTGTAACACATCAGTTTGTAACCTAAAGGCCATCCCTCGCCACACTCTCTAAATCTAATTATGTATGCAAAGAGCTCTCGCACAGAAATATCTTTCACTGGAAGTCAAAGACCAAACTTAATTTCCAACCTGTTGCTTTTCTATTATACGTATCATTCTGCACTGAGCCATTAGAAGCAAAGATAATCCCTTCAAGCTCTGAAAGGATTCAGCCAAGATGAATCCTAGCTGAGGAAAGGCAATGAGGGGTGAGCCGATTTGATCTGAGGGCTTTTCCTGCAGAAATATTTCACTTGTTTTTTTTCCCTTGACCAGTTCTTCACCTGAGAGAAAACAAACGACAGTTCTAGCTGAGCAATGATACTACAGAGATTGCACTGCAAATTCTGATGCTACAGAGCACTCTGAAGTGACGCTCACCTTCGGACAGCACACACAGCAGCACACAGAGCACAGGCTCCCTTTGCACTGCAGCACGCGCACCTTTGAACGAGCGGCTTATCTCACTTTTGGCCAAGCGTTGAGCCTCTCTCCCGCCAGCACATTCGTCACCATTTTTCATGTCGTTATCCGTCAAGTTCGGCCCCGCTGACATATGAACCAGGCAAACCGAACACCTGGCTGTCACGCATTATAGCATCAGGTTGCAGCGCGGCGCCAGGTGGTCCCACGTCAGGCAGATGCCTGCGGGCTGAGGTCAGCTGCCTACTGTATGCCGCGGGCCGGCCGCACTGACACGTGGCAGCGCAGCGAGGTGCTGGGGAAAAAGCCTTCTCCTTGGCTGTGCCTGGCACCTACCGTGGTAGGCAGGAGCTTCACCTCGCCCATCGGTTTCTGGCGTGTTGCTCACATGCCACTGCTGGAACAGCATCTGAAACGCCTTTCCTGCTTGGAGTGCTTTGGAAACATGACGCTTTAAACATTTCTCCAACTCAAATCCTATATATTATCTCCTTCTTATGAGTTTCTAGAGTCTTCCCACTTACGATGATTTATATAGGAACGTTTCAGAAGACAGCATTGATTTTTATGCTGCATTTATGCTGCTGCCTACAAGTCAGCATGGCAAAACCTATTTACTGGCTTGTGGACACACCCTCTCAGAATCAGAGTATCAGTCTGTGGGTACCAGGCTTCACACCCAGCTTGTCAGTCACCAGAAAGGTGCAGAAGAACCCACAGCATTCCAGCAACCACCTCTGTATGGCCAGGAGCATCCACTAGCAAGGTCACACCAACCAACACTACCAGAACCTCCTCTTTTGTATGACAGCTTATTTCATTTTTCCCATACTTATCAAAACTGGAAATGCTATCAAAGCATCCTTGCAGATTTATCTTCTGATTTCTAAAAGGATCTTACCCCTCTGGTTCGTACCACTGCCTCAGCTTTCCTTGTCAACCTGATGTAGATCCAAGCTCTAGTTGACTCAATGATAATCTCTTTTGAGCTTATCATC